GTGCTTGGCCGTGGGAGAGAATCGCCGACTCCCGGCAGCGCTCCTGCTTGCTGCTGTCCCGCCGGATCGCTCCTCGTTACCTGCAGGAGATGGAACCAGCTGGTGGCTGAGAAGAGGGGGAGGATCCAAGCAGCTGGTCCCAGTTAACTCCCAGTCTCCTCCGAGGCTCCTGGCAGCGCAGGGGAGAGCTCAAATCTGAGGGGGTTTGGGTTGGTGGTGTTGGTATGGTAGGATGGGAGCTGCCAGTGGGGATGTGCGTTGCAGAGGAGCCGGTCCTGGCCATAGCTGCGTCCCCAGGAGGTGACTTTGGAAAGGTAAGGTGGCTTGTGGAGGAAGGGGCTGTGGCTGGTGATGAAGAAAAGCTGAGGTTGTCTCCTCTTCAAAGCTGCTAAATCTTCTGGCTTGCATCCTGTCGTGGGGCGACCGGGGCTGGGAGCTGCTCCGGCAGCATGAGCCGACCCCCTGAGATGGTCACGTTGCGTTTGCAGCTCTACCTGTGCGTGCGCGCGCGTCTCAGCACTGAGGTTTAAGATTCACTGAAGAGACAAAGGTTTTGAAGAAGGGTGGGAGTTCTTGTGGCTTCCATGTGCAGCAGTTCCCCCACCAAGGGCTTCTGGCTGGTTTGAGGCTTGGATGAGCTGGATCCGTGTGGGAGGTGGGGCCGCTGCTGGGAGCAGGGGATCAGCTCCATCAGGGAGGGTGTGCTGGGGGCTGCGAAGCCTCGGGCTGGGGATCGGAGGCTTCTCTGCAGACATTGGTTGGGTTTTTTTCTTGCATATCTCAATGGGGTTTTGGTCTGCTGGGACCTTCTCCTCCACGCTGCTGGCTTGGTGCCGGCCGTTTGCCGTGTGGGAGGTGGGGCCGCTGCTGGGAGCAGGGGATCAGCTCCATCAGGGAGGGTGTGCTGGGGGCTGCGAAGCCTCGGGCTGGGGATCGGAGGCTTCTCTGCAGACATTGGTTGGGTTTTTTTCTTGCATATCTCAATGGGGTTTTGGTCTGCTGGGACCTTCTCCTCCACGCTGCTGGCTTGGTGCCGGCCGTTTGCCCCAGCCGATGGGGTGCTTCCCGCGCTTGCTGCTGCTCCAGCGATGCTTTTCCTGAACCTTCACCGTTTCTTCACGAGTGTGTTGAAACGGCTGCGGGGATGGGTGACAACCAGCTCCGGCAACGCGCTGCTGGCAATGTAGTGAAAATATTTATGTTGTTTCTATGCCAACCTGTTCCAAGTGTCGAAACCACCCCACAAATGCTTATCAAATTCACAGCTCCTCCGCGTGCGGGGAGGAGTGGCCTGGTCACAGTGGCAGAGGACACAGGACCTCATTTCCCTTCCTGTGCCCATGGAAGTCTGGCCTCATAGTTCGTGTTGCTGCTGCCATGTGAGCCCGGCCGGTTGCGGGGATGTGCTGGTGGTCAAGAAAGATGAGGAGGTACTGGAGAGAGTCCAGCGGAGGGCTACCAGGATGATGAGGGGACTGAAGCATCTCTCCTACGAGGAGAGGCTGAGGGAGCTGGGCTTGTTCAGCCTGGAGAAGAGAAGGCTGAGAGGGGACCTTAGAAATGCCT